AGTGTTGATGTTCGAAGAAAAATTGCCATCCTAACTGAACAGTTATAAATGATCAATCTATATTTGCCTTCCAGAGTGGTCAATTTACGAACCCCATCCACGCAACATCTCCTTGGAAAAGAAGAGCCCAATTACATGAGTGGCTGAGTAAATGAAAGGCTCCGGTTGGAAGACAGGCCCCTTGGACAATGAATCATTATTCTAGTGACAGAGCAAAGTGATGAGTGTGCGTTTGCAAGACAGAGCCTGGGGCGCTGGTCAGTCTGTTGTAAGCAGCCTCCATTCCATGACGGAGATGGGGCTGTGTGGGCTAAATTCCCGCTCCATTTGAGTTCTATAGTCTGTCTCCACTTCCTATTGGCCTGCCTTGCCTACTACTCCCTGTCAAACGGCCATACTGAAATAAGCCTTCAATCAGGCGCACCGGACCGATTCTACTACGCCCATGCAGCTGCGGCTGGGGATGCTGCAGGCTGTTGTGCTGGGCCGGAGTTGGCAACAGATTTTTATGTGCGGGGCTCGCCTGATGCATCAATGTGAGTGTGAGTTTGTGATGAAGGGATTCGCGGTTCAATCTCGACAGATCACGACGGTGGGCTCTCGACCTATCAATGCAGTTCAAGAAAAATCGTCAATTTATCAACTGCCACGATCTTGTCTCATTTTGAGGTGAATTTACCCTGTTTGGTAATGATGAGATCAGATCGGAATGAGGTCGGAACAGTGCAACCCCTGCAAATAAGCATAAATAACGAAGACGTCCCATACCTTTGCGATGTCCAATTAGTAGATGGTTCAGGATAGGCCGTGGATAAATAAGTTCTTATTCAAGAATTACTGATAATTTGGAAGCTCACATCGAAACCGAGTATTTTCATTGATTGCAGTGTCAGATGAAATGTGATTTGGGAAAAGCATGGAGACACTGGCTCTCGTGACTGTGTAACGGAGCTGTATCTTATGTCACCGTGCCCAAGTGATCCCGTTTCGACCCCCTTGGGGCTTTTGATGAGACCTTGGTAGGGTCGAACCAGCAGGCTAGCCTGGATGACATAACCTTCTAAGAGGCAAGTCTAAGTGAGCTTCTATGGCAGTGTGACTCATACTCCTAGCATTGTGGGCAAAAGTCAAGAGCTGTAATCACACAATTTCGTTTGAGGTGATGAATAACTGGAAAATGAATTTTCCCACAATCAGATGAGTAAACTTCATGTTTCAATTGAATTTCCCAGTGCCCTGCTCCTCAAAAGGTATTCCCATCTAAGGTCGACAGCAGTTTTGACCTCGCTTAGGTCTCATCATCACTCCTAGTGGGACTCGAACTCTGGTAGTGCAGTGTGTAGTCTCAACACATTAATCACTAATCAGATATTCAGACAAATAAACCAACGGTCAAGTAGACAAACAGACGGAGGAACAGACAAACAATCATATTTTAATCGAAGCTATGAAGACCAAGATGGTGTGGCCTTTTGTGTGGTCCAAAGTTGTACCGTGGACGTGGACGCAGAAGGGGAGATACAACAATTGTTTAGCACACGTTTGGTCAAAGGATCGGCTTCATTTGTCTCTGACGAGTTGTTGTATGGTGCTACGAATGGCGAGACTCACTGACAATGCCGACTACGATTCCGGCGAAACGTCTGGGAAAGTACCACGTCCACAGTCCAACTTTGGAAATAATCATGCATACAATGGACTCCGTACTAGGTACATTCCTCTAAGTCTTCCCACCAATATGACCAAGTTGCGAAAACAAGTTCAAACAACTTCTAAGCAATCATATAACTGACTTACTTGTAATCTCGAGACGCTAGTTATAAACGAAAAATAAATAATGTTGTCGATTGTCATAGCAAATATAAATTTGCTTTATCGACAATCCCACCATAGAATGTGATCCAGTAAAATGCCTGGACTTCCTTGAAATGCACATCTGCCCTCTGACCCAAGAGGATTCGTGTAAATGTGGCGTAGTAATTAACATGTCCAGATTACACGCTGCACTATCATGGTTCGTGTCCAGCTGGGGGTGAAGATGTGAATTTCAAGAAATGTCAGGCATTTTCCATATCACATTCTGCATTGGGATTGTCGATTAAGCAAACTTATGTTTGCTATAGCAATCGACGACATTACTTTTTTCGTTATGCGTCTGATTTACTGGTAGTCTCGAAAACCTAGACAATAATGAAAAAAGTAGTCGTTGATTGCTAAAGAATATATATTTGTTAGCTTCAACGACAATCCCAAAACAGAATGTGATGTGGAAAAGTCCTGACCTCCCTTGAAATTCACATCCTCCCTGTGACCCATAGGGCACTTGTAACAATTTGGCGTAGTAGTTAACGTGTCAAGATCATACGCTGCAATGTTATGGCTTGAGTCTCGCCGGGAGTATTGATAAGACCTATGCGAGGTAGAAACTGCAATCCAATTCAGCCTGGATGAGAACACCTTTTGGAAATGCAAGGCTCTGTGAAATTTAATGGAAACGTCAGCTCTTCTCATTTCATTGTGGGAAAATTCAACTACCTGTCCTTCATCAATTTAAACAAAATGTGGTGAATACATCTCATATAGACTGATAGACAGTCGGGAAGGCAGACAAACAGGCAGATAGATGGTCTGGCATATATACGAAAAGGGATTTAAATCTAGAAATAGAAATGCAGAGAAACAGGCAAGCAAATAGACAGACAGACAAAGCAGAGAGGCAAAACGATAGGCCAGCAGTCAATTAGGGAATTAAGCCTACAAATATACCTACAGGCAGACGGATGGACGGACAAGCAGACAGACAGACATACAGACAGTAGGAAGGCTGGTAGTTAAAATATGTTGGCGCCCTTTCATCAGCTTGAACGAAATAGGCTGAATACAGCTCTTCTATTAAAACTAACGGTAGTCTCGAAAATGGAAAACACCATTATTACTTTTTAAATCATCAAGGGTGACCAACTCTTACTCAATGACCAATGATACCTTCAGGGCATACTCACATTGACGTGGGATCAAGCAATCCCCATAGCATACTTGCTGAATATCCCTGCCTCCCTACGCCCTTGTTCATCTGCCTTGTAGGATTTCTTTGGGGCAAACAAGACGGAAAATTAAAGAAATTACGAAAGCACCCAGCTCCTTGTCAGTTCTAACTGCTTCCTCTCATCCTCTGAATATTGGCGCATTTTAATATTAAATTAGCCCTCGTGGATAATTATCCTGGACTAGATAAACTCCATGCTCTGGTAATTGCTGCAGTGGGACATTCTCGGCGGATCCCTCATTATTAGCCCTCGTTCCCATGAACAAAGTACTGGCAAATCGTCATTAAATAAATTGATTTGATGGCATCTTAAGACTCAACTAAGGATTATTATCTGCATCTCCTCGTCTACGCATAACTGTCCTACGCTCAGTTGTAGACGACAGGCCGTTCTCATTGGACAAGGTCTACAATTGAAGGAAAATCATCATTCTCTTTGACTTTGCTACAAAATGCCTCTTCAGTTTTTAAGGTATCACCTCCTCTCGACTATGGTTGGCTTGACTCTAAAGTGGGCGAGCATTTCGGTGGGCCTCAATAGGCTCAGACATGAAGACCAAGATGTTATGGCTGCCGTCTCATTTCGATACATAGAAGTGGTCTGAACGTCTTCTCTTAACTTGGTAGTGTTGTCAAGGTGACCTAGTTGAACGTACCTTGTCCAAAGCCTTCTGCTATATTAGTTATGATAATTCTCAGCGTGGTCGAAGAAACAACTAGAATTTTGGGGGCCCGGCGGTCACGGGACTGGGGCGACGGATAACCATAGGCGTCACAGAAATCCGGCATTATGACCAAATTGGCTAGAAATCCATCAGAGAGGCAACAGGCGACCAGAAATAGACACTCACAGTTTGCTCATGGTACACGGGTTGAAGCAAGAAGATGAGCAACCGATACAATGCGGGCTATCTACAAGCATTGGAGTCAGAGTTTAGGTGAGGCGACGGTGCAAGTGCGCGTAAAGGCTCGGCAACTAACACCTGAAGTAACACGGCTGCTGGGACAGGAACCGAGTGAAATCAGCGGGTTGATGACGCCGCACCCACGTCTTTAGGGGCGTCGAATATAAGCAAGTCAGGAGATGTGATAGGAAGGGAGTGTGATACAAGGCTGGAGGGTAGGCAGATGTACCAGGAAAGGGGGAGTGATAACAAGGCTGAACCGTATTCAAAGGATTAACTTGTCTCTTTTTCGAGTTGCCAAGACTAATTGAAGATGCCGGCGAAACGTCTGGAAATGTACCAAGTCCACAGTCTAATACCGGGAATTAGCATAACTACAACAGCAGATGGCTTCGGACAAGTTATGTACAATTATGTCGCCTTGATAACACAACAAAGCTGAGAAAACGAGATCAGACCACCTCACTACGCCCAGCCTACGAATTCCCTCGACCCGGCATTATCAATAAATGAAAGGATACTACAGTGATATTGGGGAAAAATCTATTCAAATGATTAACGCCGTATGATTGGTAAGTTGACTGAATGTTCTCATGTGGCAAGCGAGTTATACTTTGCCCACAACATCAGTGCTAATTTCCAAATTTGTGCCGATTTATTCCCTAACTCTGCTCACTTAATAACGTGGATTAAATATTTTGACACTGGGCACACATACAAACTTCTATGCCATCGGTAAGAAGGTAATGACACTTGGTTTGATACTTCACATATTGGATTCTTACGACCTTTGCCATTTTCCCTCCACCAGTCAGATTCAGAGGTACAAGGCTTCGGTAATCGGCATAAACATGCTACGCCCCTGGAATAATATGAGGTATATTGCCAAAAATAGCCAAAATTGATTAAGAGTACGCACAAGTTGCAGTCGGATAGACTATTTATAATTAGACTTAAGCACAAGCTCATATAGAAAATAAATCTTCTCTTCACCTGTTCACACATCATCAATCGACATGAAGATGTTTGTCCTTTGTTGGCCTTTTAGCTTTCGTAAATGGCAATTTGGCAAACACTTAAGCTTATGCTTCAATAAAACCGTACATAAATGTGCTTGCTAATAAGTGTGGCCATCGCCCTGGCATGTTCATGGGTTTGAGGTCGCCGTCTGAAGAGTGGAGAATTATGAGGGGATATGACTTGGTTGGAGACTTTGAGTGGTTCTTGACGTAGCATATCTTTTAGGCTGTACCCACTGGACTATTCAAGGGTTAAGATTGTCAGCCTATTATCTTTTATTATGAGTGAATTTCTGATGATGCGTCCGAGTCACCGAGGTGAAAAGTGTATAAGAAAGCAGTTTTTCTCCCTGCTTCTAGAAGCGGTTTCGCGATTGGGTAGACTTACATCTCCATCCCAGACTGTTTCTAGGACACGCTCTTTAAAGCACTGCTTATCTGCAGGCTTTTAGGCATGGTCAGAGTCGACCAGATAAAAGAGACAAGACGATACAAATTCTCCGGGGATGGGCCAGGTTGGCGGGTAAAAAAGTCATAAAAAAAGACGATTCCTGGTACGACATCGTCCAT